ATTGAAGTCTCTGAGGAACTGCTATAAGAACTCTCAAGTAAACGCTAAAAAAAGTTCATCTTTTATTCCCTTCTAATTCCTAGAAATATGGAGATAGATTTTGCACTCTGCACCCTCTTTGAGCTTACTTTAGATCCCTACACTCTTTTCTATAATTTTTTTAAATAGAAAGTAGGCTATATTTTTTAAATTAATCTTATATATATTGACAATATATACACACACTAGCAAACGTAGATGCATATCACATGTTTAGAATTAAAATTGAAATTGATGTTGATATTAGATGACATGCATGCATCTGTAAAGATTAATCCATGCTTTTTATTCCAATGATTGAATAACAAAACAACTTTTATGGACAAGAGGGTATATAATGAAGATCCAGTGTTTAGAAGAAGTTGAAAGATGATGTCAAAATCTCTCTCTCTTGAAGTGACATCTATGTTCAATATAAAGTTGGTCTAGCACTTTTTTTTTTTAATTAAAGGTAGTTATTAAAAATTTTGTCGGAGGTAATTTAACAAGGAAATGTAGATAAAATAGTGTACTTTGTAACAATTTAAGAGGGCAATCTAGTTACATGAACAAAATTTACGAAACTGAGGGTGGAAAAATAGTTTGCTAAATGAAGAATGCTACAAAATTTTAAGTCTATTGTATAATTTTCCAAAACTTGAGGGGGTAATTGTCCACCCTCAAGCAAAGCATGGCTCATGGACTGTATTGCAATATAGTATTTGTTTTCCTAGCAAGAAAATGTCATTCCATTAAAATAGAATTAAAAAAAAATACAGATAGAAAACGAACTCTGCAACCTCCTTCCTATAGTCTTAAAGAAATGGGAAAAGAAAGAAGTTTTGCAACTTTGGTCGGCACATTTTTTCAATCAAGCTTGACCATTGGCAGAGTGCACGAGCTAAGTTATAGTGGTGGCTTCCTCCCTCGTTGGCTTGCCTCTGCAAATTATGAATGAATATAACCCAGAAAAAAAAAATGAATATTATCATTTAAAGTGCTGATTTTGTGTCGACCTCTTTTTCTTATTAAATAAAAAATAACAAGAATAAAAAGCTTCAACTCTTTCATTTGTGGATATCATCTTTCTTCTCCATCGTTTGCAAAATATCCTCAAAGACATGTGTGGCCTTCTCCATTATGAGATGGAGACGTCATTGGAATATTAGTCAGTACATTCTACAATTAATGTTTGGAAGTTCATTTAAATGGTTACATATATATATATATATATATATGACCCCTCGTAGAGGAATGTTTATATATTATATTAACATATACTAATATATGATTAAGTTGCCTATCTCAAAAGGAATGAAATGGCAACAAGAGAACTCACATCACCATTATGAAAAATTAGAACTAAATGAAGAAAATTAAAAGAGTGCTCTTAATTAAAACACAGCTAGGCACAACACCAGTATGCTATTCGTCTAGTTGGTTCAATATATTGTGGTTGCAGGCTGGTGGGGGATCATATGCCGATGGCTCAAGCACGGCGACAAGCAACAAAAACTTCATGCCATTTGGGGGAGGACCACGACTTTGTGCTGGATCTGAATTAGCCAAACTGGAGATGGCAGTTTTCTTGCATCATTTGGTCCTCAACTACCATTGGGAATTAGCTGATGCGGATCAGGCTTTTGCTCTCCCTTTTGTCGACTTCCCAAAAGGCCTGCCCATAAGAGTACAACAACACAAGCCCTTCTGCGTGGAAACCACTCCTACTTCTCCTCCTACGTTTCCCTGCAAAAATAATTAATATTTGATCATCTCCAAAAGGGACCTCAGGTTCTCACAAGTCATATCTATAGAGGCAACAAAAGGAGTATATTTTTGGAGGCTGGAAGCTAATAAAGGTTGATGGATGGAGCCTCTTGGCATTTTCCAACGGCAAAAATGTAAAAGTGTCTTTGGATTTTTATTTCAAGGTCGGAAGCATGAGAACATCCCAATCCAAGGGACGATGTAGACAAATCCCACTATAAAGATTTTCGTCTTGTATATAGTTTATACAGGACCACCCCCCCCCCCCCCAATCCCTGTAAATTGCTGTCCTTTTTCTCATTTTGCCCCTTTCTCATCCTTCGTTCCATATTTTTTCCAAGTAGTAAGTTTTCATTATGTATGTTCAGACAGTAGTAATTAATTCTTTCTTCTTCTTTTTTTCACAATTACAGCAAGTCATTGAATTGCTACCACACACTTCTTTCTGTGTTGGTTTTTTCTTTTTGTGGGTCAAAATATGCTTCTATATATATAGTAGGAGTATAAGTTTTCCAAAGTTGAAATTACGAGTCCTGGTGTGAAATATTCAAGCTTCAAAATGAAACATGCAGGATGTATCCCTCCCCGAAACCACATATGATTCAAAATGAAACATGCAGGTTCTTCTGGAACCGCATAATTTAATACGCCGCTTCCCGAGAGATTTTGTAACCACCAGATGCGGTGGTTCCTCCAGGATCAGAAAGTCCCCACAAACAGGATCTGATGCTGTGACAATCAGGATTCAGGACACGAAGTTACTATCAGAGTAAATAAGATTCGCTTGGGATATTATTATTGTTTTGTATACAAAGCTACGTTATAAATATAAAATCAAACGTACGTATTATGACCCATAAAAAAGGAAAAAAAGGAAAAAATAAATAAATGAACTTCATCCAACAGTTGGGGCTACCCTCCATTCTATCTGCTCAGTTCCACCATTCGTTGCATCTCTCAAGTCGTCTTCTGGACCATTGCGGCTGATAACAATATCCGCCGATCGAAAAAGATGAGGTTCTCCAGTTCTTTGAAAAAATCTATCTTGCTTTATGTTGAACGAAAAACCCAAAAATCTTCAAAGACGTTTCGACGGAGAACATGCGGACAACTAATGATTTGACAAATTTTGTTACGATATGTTCCAAAATTAACTGGTATGAAGGCAGACGGGTAACCCCATGGCCATGTGCATTTGTTTGTTAGCCAAGAGAACTTCTGTGTCTGGTGGCGGAGGTGTAATTACTCAAGACTGTTAAAGGTTTTTTCTTTTCTTCTTTTTTTTGGGGAAGGGGGAGGGGATGGGGTGGTTCACTAATCACTCGTAGTTCATTAGAAATTGCATGCGTGAAATTAGTTCTATGGCATATAATTTTCAAAAAAAAACTCAGTGTACTCGGCAGCGTCTAGGTGTGTGTTCAGGGACAGCAACCATTGGGCGCCCAAAAAGCCCCGACAGATAGTGGGTCCAAAGCTCCACAAGTGCCCAACTCAAACTACAGCCCAAGTGCCCAACTAAGGGATTGAGAGGTTATCTGCTGGTGCCCTCAGCCACGAAATGTCCATATCCCATTCATGGAACCAAACACCCAATCAAATTGATGGTTGGAGTGGGTCATTTATTTGGGCTGTAACTGCTAGATGAGTAGGGGTGAATGAAAGTCAAGGCAAGTTTGAGCAATGCACTGTTTGAGTTCGAGCCTAACCCGTCAAGCTTTTATTTAAAAGTTGAATTTAACTTCGACTTCAATTCACCTTGTTCAAATTTGAGAATCTAATCAAGTTTAACCATCGATTGATTTCAGTCGAGTCTATTCAAACTTATCTAATTGTAAAAATTATGTATATATATTAATAGTTAGAATAGTCTCGTCAAGCCTATCGAATTCGACTCATATGTATTATTGAGCCACTCAAATGTGGTCAAGATCGAGTTCGAGTTAAGCAATCGATCGAACTACTTGCGAGTTTAAGTAATTTGATCAACTTGCAGTTCTAAATGCTGCCACCCAGTCCGCCAGGATCGAGTTCGACCTGAAAGGTTGGTTGTTTATTCTTTCGTAGTAGGCAGAGGAAGTCGCTTTGCCTTTGATCACTGATTATCAGTCGCGAAATGGGAGAGTTCTGGTGTTAGTGGTTTAGTGGCGAGGCCATTAGCAGCGTGTCTAATTTTGCCGATCATCGTCCTTCGTGGCTGAGGAAACAGGAGCGCGTCCATTATTCCTCCATTGGTTGGTTTACGTGGAGTACCAGCAGCAGCTAACTTACCAGCGCTGGTTGATGAACTCATGCTGGTCAACCCCGCTGCACCTTCTTCTCCCTTGTTTGGAAATCCGTAAATCTTCTATTGCAATGAGCAAGTTATAAATCTTCTCTCCGCAAAGGAAGAAAGTAAATTTTGGTTCATTTTTTGAGCACATTCTTATTAGATTGCTATTATTAAAAGTCTTCGAATATTGTCGAGATTATATACTTCTTCTACTGTGCTTTCCATACTGCTAAAGGCTACTAGCTAGCAATTATGTATAATGCTTATAATTTAATAGCCCAAATTTTCTAAATCAGAATAGGTCACATGATGATTCTCTGGTACTTGAATTGGGATTTCATGCAATGGGGAAGTGAACGATAATCAATGGGTAGCCAGTTGCAGTTTGCTGTTGTTAAATAGTTTTTTTTTTTTTGGCTTTTTGAAATATGGATAAAGAAAGAAAATAGCAAAACTGGAAAATGATGGGGTAGTCTGGATAATAAGCCTTCGAAATTTTAACCACTCTTTTTTATCTTATGTACGTCACGTTACAAAAAAATACTATAGTATTATTTTAAATAAAATTTTCTAAGTAATCTTAAATCCAAACAAAGATTATGTCATATATATTAACCAAATGTACCTGGAAGGTATTAAAGCATGTATGTAACCTGGAAATCAAAGGAATAAAAGCAGGATAAATTATCCGAATTTGTAATTTTAGTCAAGAAAATGTTTGACTAGGAAAATGAAATGAAAAAAATGGATGGCAAATAATTAATGTTTGATTGTGAGATTATTTGAGATAATTTTTTTCTAAATATACCATTACACTTTTTTATATAATGCATTAAAAAAGATAAAAGATATTTAAAAAATTTGTTTAGACGCAAATAAATAAATGTATGTACTAGTAAATAATTTGCTATCCAAACAAAAACAAAAAGGCAAATACTACTGGATTAGCAGTTGTATCGGGACGCAACCTAACTGTTCCCCGGCGGCCAGCTCTCGTTATTCCTTCCCGGTTTTAGCATCCCAGTTCCCATATTATTACCTCCTCTCTCTCTCTCTCTTTTTTTTTCCTAATCTTTCTCGTCCTCGGGACCCTGTCAGCTATATCTCCTACGGATCTCCAAATAACAAGGAGAAACAAAAGATTGTTCAATCTCCAGTCTTATATAGGAAAGAACCCCCAACACAGACGAATCTATAGAAAGAGATGTGGCGGTGCGTGTCGCGTGGTCTTGGCATTTCTCCCAAGAGATCCATCGCCGGCGACTCTTTCCGGCCGCTCATTAACAGACTCTTTTCTGCTCAAGCGGTAGTATTTTTCATTCTCATTTTATTCTTTTAGCTAATTCGTCACCTCTTTTTCCTTTTTTGGGTTCAATTTACAATTCAATCAGGGCATTTCTCACCGAAGTATCGTCTCTATCTCTCCCTCTCTCTTTTTGATTCATGTTTGTGTCGTTTGTTTTAAGTAGGATATTTCGATTGCAGATATTTGTTATTTATAGTATCTTCTTTTTTCCCGATGGATAGAATGTCGCAGGATCGGACTATACTGTAGTTGACCACACGTATGATGCGGTGGTGGTAGGAGCTGGGGGCGCTGGGCTGAGAGCAGCAATAGGTTTGTCAGAGCATGGATTTAACACTGCTTGCATTACCAAGCTCTTCCCTACTCGTTCCCACACTGTTGCAGCTCAGGTTCATCTGATTCGATATTTTCCTTGATTTCATTCTTTTTGGTTGCCCATTCAATTACTTGCTCAAAATGTATCTTAGGATTCTATGTTCTGTGATTTTGTAGTCTCAGGGATTTAATTGCGCCTATTAATCACCGAATCCTGCAGATTATTGGTTCTTGACATAACTACTTGGCCCTTTCTTCACACTTTTAAAGATGAAGTAAATTCTCATCCAGCTGTTGATTTTTAATGTATAGATTTCTTAAACCTGCTATATTTGCAAAATCTTGTGCTGTCACTCGGCAAATGAATATTGTTATACTAACCTTACTTGTATGTCATTGTTTCCTGTCACGTTCTTTCCTTCCCTACCGAAACTTTTTTCTTCCGAGCTAGTTTGGATTGTCGTACACGTTGACTTATTTTTTGTGGGACTACAATTCCTTCCCCTTCTATTTTCGCGGTGGAATTCTGTAATTTAGTAGAATAGAATAGAAAATTGAGGTGAGCATCCAAATATGTGGTATAACCCTTTGAGGCAGTGCTGAGTGTATTACATTGGAATGTATGACATCATGATTTCTTTTACTTGTGACATGCTGGCATTCCTTTTCCAGGCTCAAGATAATCTTAGGGAATCAAGTGATTAGTTCTGCTACTGTGAGATTCTGAATGATGCTGTTGTAATGGGTTATATGAACTGCTTACTGTGTCTCTTCCTGCTGTTTGAAGTTCTTATGCTATGTGCTGATGCATTCTTACCCTTTTGCACATCTGGTTAATAGGGTGGTATAAATGCTGCATTAGGAAATATGACTGAAGATGACTGGAGATGGCACATGTATGATACGGTGAAGGGAAGTGACTGGTTAGGTATGTCTCCACAGCAGCATCACTCTTTATATTTGTTATTGCTAATTCCTCTTTTATCTGGCCAGCTAATCTGCTGAAAACATCATAACTGTAGTTTCTGTGATCCTTCTAAATCATGTTTAAGTCAGGAAAAGTTTTGGTTAGGATCAAAACATGCAGGTTTTGTGTGTTGGGTGCTTGTCTATTTTGGCTTTTCATTCTCCTTGTACTAATAAGATGTTTTTATTTCTCTTAGGTGATCAGGATGCTATCCAATACATGTGCAGGGAAGCACCAAAAGCAGTTATAGAGCTTGAAAATTATGGTTTACCATTCTCTCGAACTGAAGATGGAAAAATATATCAGCGTGCATTTGGTGGTCAAAGTCTGGATTTTGGAAAAGGTTCTCATGACGTTCAATTTGGAGTTTGTTACAATTATTTTTCATTCTAAAGGATATCTTTTATGCAGTTTCCTTCGGTTCATTGCTTCACAGGTGGACAAGCATACCGGTGTGCATGTGCTGCTGATCGAACTGGACATGCCCTGTTGCACACACTTTATGGCCAAGCCATGAAGCATAATACACAATTTTTTGTGGAGTATTTTGCTTTGGATCTATTGATGGGTAGTGATGGTAAGTTATACTTTGCAGCTTCTGGCATGATCGAGATTGTGTTTCTTTTTAAATTTTTTGCTTTTACCTAGTCTATACTTATGGTAACACACAGTGAAGCACTCTTCTGGACTTAAAAGAGATGCTCAATTTCAAGGTTGTTCTAGTGAGAGAAAGTACAAAGAAATTTTTGTTGCCCCTTCTGCATCCATATCTTTACACATCAAAATTCTTTGCTGAAAGTTAGACTGTCTTGAATGTTATATTAATGAAAATTGTTATTTTTTATGCTTGCTTTCTATATCAGGTAGCTGCCAAGGTGTAATTGCACTAAACATGGAGGATGGGACCTTGCATCGATTCCGCGCTGCTTCAACTATACTGGCAACTGGGGTATTATGATATGAACTACTTTTGTTTTTAGATTTAATTTAATACTTAGATGAATCTAAATTTACAGTTCTGACTTTTCACAGGGATATGGTAGAACTTACTTTTCTGCAACCTCTGCTCATACTTGCACTGGTGATGGCAATGCTATGGTTGCACGTGCTGGGCTTCCTCTTCAGGTGTCTTGCTGATTTGTCTTTATTTCTTAAGATAATCCTTTCTTCCTCTCTCCTCTTCTCTCTCTCTCTCTCTCTCTCTCTCTGGGTGTTTGAGTACTCTCTTTTAAGAAGATTCATTCTGCGTACTTCCTACAATTGTTGCTTCATCATCTGCAGGATCTTGAGTTTGTGCAATTCCACCCAACTGGTATATATGGTGCTGGGTGCCTTATAACTGAAGGTTGGTGTTTTCCGATTAAGCTTCTCGTGCTTTTGGGCATTTGTTTGTCGAGAGCTGAATTTTTACTACTTTCAGAAACTAGTATGAAATGAAAGTTTTAAATGGAACACTACTCTTTGATTTTGCAAATCATGTTGCCTCTTGTTTATATGGCCATCTCAACCTTCATGCTTCAACTTTTTGAAGGTAATCCTTCTCTTTATCTTTTTGTGGCATCTAGGGTCTCGTGGAGAAGGTGGAATTCTTAGGAATAGTGAAGGTGAGCGATTTATGGAGCGGTATGCTCCAACTGCTAAGGATCTGGCATCAAGGGATGTTGTTTCAAGGTCTATGACAATGGAAATTAGAGAAGGGCGTGGCGTAGGTACTCATTGCTCTTTTTGTGGTCATACAAATACACTGCCGACAAATTACTGTAATTTGCATGTTTTCCAAAATTTCAAACCCCCGTACAGGTTCTGTGGATTGTGCTTACCCCAGCTTTGATGGAATACCATCTGGAGTTGATGGGTATACAAGATTGTTATAGTATGCTCATTCCTCCCATCCCAGGCGATTTTTAATCATTCACATACTTATAAAAGTATTACTCTGTTTTGGATAGAAAAGCATTATTCACGGCATTACTCGGTTTTGGATATAAAAGATCCAGAGGTGCAAGTGAAGTCTGATACTGATTAAAGTTTGTGAAACTTCATAAGTAATTGTTCTTATAGTTAGCAATTCCATATTCTCCAACTAAACTTGACCATAAAGAGACAGTTGTGCTCTTAGGGGTCATTTGGATGTGTGCCTTCACAAACTTGATGGTTTATACTGCAGAGCTCTTGATTAAACTCCCTTTGCTTTCAACAGGACCATTGAAGGATCACATTTATCTCCACTTAAATCATTTACCTCCAGAAGTCCTCAAAGAGAGGCTTCCAGGTATTTCTGAAACAGCTGCCATTTTTGCTGGGGTTGATGTCACGAAGGAGCCAATTCCTGTTTTACCTACTGTGCATTATAATATGGGTGGAATTCCCACAAACCATCATGGGGAGGTAAAACTAGTAGATTACTTGAAAGTGAAGGACTACTGTTGGTTTAAATGAAAGCTGTTGGAAATTTTAAACTCCATTGTGTTGCAGGTGGTTACCATTAAAGGTAATGATCCTGATGCTGTAATCCCGGGTCTACTGGCTGCTGGAGAAGCTGCCTGTGCATCTGTTCATGGGGCTAATAGGCTTGGTGCAAATTCTCTTCTTGACATTGTTGTTTTTGGTCGGGCTTGTGCAAATAGGGTTGCAGAGATTCAGCGACCTGGTAAGTTGAATTAACTTCCTGACTCATTTCTTTGGCATCTTTCTGATCATCTATTCTGATGCTTATAAGACTTGTCATTTTCATTTGCATAGGAGAGAAACAAAAACCATTGGAAAAGACTGCTGGAGAGAAGACTATAGCATGGTTGGACAAGCTCAGGAACTCAAATGGTTCAATTCCTACCTCAAAAATCAGGTTGAATATGCAAAGAGTGATGCAGAACAATGCTGCTGTCTTCCGCACGCAAGAGACTCTCGAGGAAGGTAGGTGTTAAGTCTTTCTGTCTTCCTATTTGTCTTCGTGCTCCTAAAATTGGAGCTTTTGTTGACTTTTGGCTTCTATTTGTAATGCATTTAAATATCTTTTCCTGTTTTCCGATTAGATGCCTTATGGTCATGTTAGTTCTGTGGCAATTTAGAAGCATCCAAGATTGTCATCCATGTTAAGCCAAATCCAACCCTAGGTGGTTCTTCAGCTAATGAAAATGTAAATGCAGTAATGTTGAATGGCAACCAAAAAAAAAAAAGAAAAGGAAGTAATTTTGAATATAAAATTTGACTGAACTTGAATTGGTAATTTTGCCAGTTGGATGCCAGTATCATCTAAGATTTGCTCCAATGCTAGTTTCGCTTGGTTGCAGTTGGGAACTTGAAATAGTTGGGGCTTTAGAAATTTTTGTGAAACATTTAAACAAGATATGGGGTGATGATTTTGCAGGTTGTCAGTTGATTGACAAAGCATGGGATAGCTTTCATGATGTTAAATTAAAGGACCGGAATTTAATATGGTACTTCTCTTTAATGAATTGTCTTGTTGAAAAGGTTTTACTATATATGCCTTTCCATCGCTTGGCCTTTTACCTATTTCTTCTATAAATATGTCTTTCCAGGAACTCAGACTTGATAGAGACGGTAGAACTGGAAAACCTTTTAATTAATGCTTGTATTACCATGCACTCCGCTGAAGCCAGGAAAGAGAGCAGAGGAGCACATGCTCGTGAAGATTTTACGGTTAGTTTCTTTTTTTTTTTTGGCTCAAAACTTTTGCATTTCCTCCCTTCTGCACGATAACAACATGAACTCTGTGCCCTTGACAGAAAAGAGATGATGAGAACTGGATGAAACATACGTTGGGGTAAGTTCTCATTATTTATGTTTTACTTCTCTTGTTTAATCTTTTTTCCCATTCAAGTGTTCTTTGGGTGAAAAAAAAAAATAGCCAAACTAGTCGAACTGCCATGCTTGGTAATTGATCAACTGAGTGATTCACCCCTAAATCCTGTTCTAAGATGTGAACTTGTTGCTTCGTGGTAATTTTTCTGGATATGTAAAAATTGCTGATCTAATTAACAAAATTTCATGTCATTGTCCGTAGGTACTGGGAGAACGAGAAGGTTAGGCTGGATTACAGACCTGTCCACATGAATACGTTGGATGATGAGATTGAATCGTTCCCGCCAAAGGCTCGCGTGTATTAGATGCATGTGTTTTCCTTTTTTCCGAAAGAGGTGATAGATGCTTAAATAATGAAATTTTGGTAATAATTGTTGCATTCATCTATGCTTAATATGATGCAGCCTGTTAATACATTTTCAAGTGTGAGATAGCTTTTGTATCTTAACTATGGACTGATGTTATGTGATTAATTGTTTTAATGGGATTTATGCATTGTGGCTCGTCAGACTAAACTCGATTGCACAATTTTAAGTTTACTGAATCGTAGTACTAACTTAGGGATCCTGTGAGGATACTGAAAACTTTTCAGTCTTTTGCATTAGCCGCAAGTATTCTAGTGCAGGAGACGCATATGTGTTGTGTTTTAAACCCAAAGGCTGCTCGCGCATTGGAAAAAAAATACATAAATAAAATGAAGTCAGCTTCAACCTTTCGGTTTTCGGTTTATGTAGGCTGTCTGCAGTCTGCCCTAAATAGACTTCTTCTTTTTAAATCACTTTTATGGTAAGGGTCAGATTGGGGAATAAGCATCGATGTCCAAATGACCTTCGGAAGTGTGGGAGGAAATCAACATAAGCCCGTAACTGATATTGAGGTGCAATTGTGCTCTGGTCCAGTTTTGGTAGCTCAAATTTGACATTCCGCTTGAGGCAATTCTACCCACTTCCATGTTTGTTGCTGTTAATCTTTATTCCGTTATTGCTTGTCTTTTCACCAGTAAATAATAAACACGCACGCTCAGAGTCTAAGGTAATTCCGTTATTGGAATGGAATGATGGGTCGAGGACTAATTTCAACCTCGTTTTTTGTTGCTTTAGATTTTACAAAATCTGATTGTAGAAACGGATTATGAAGAATAATTAGAATCAACAAATATGGTACTCATCAGGTGATTGTAGATTTTAGCTTTTTCGGCCATTAAAAAGTTTATAATCTGGCCGCAAAATCAACCGAGAACATCATCAAAATTGATTATTTAAAATTAGAATTTATAATTAATTGAGAACCGGCCGCAAAAGGCGAACTAGTGTTGTTCTGTTTCTATATTTTCTTTTTTAAATAATTAATTTGGGTGGCAAAAGTTTCGTGGGGTAATTTTGTTGGGTCCCTTGTCCCCATAAATCGAAAGAGAAGCTTCCGCGAAGGGCAGCGCGTAGACATTGCATGGATGAACCGCGGCCGAGGCTAAAAGCACTAAACTCATCTGTGCGACTCTATTTACAAAATTTAGATGGTATGTACAAAAGTGAAAAATGAAAAGGGGACCTCCACTAAAAGTTTTGCGTGAACGGCAAAATCTGAGTAACTAGTGTAAAATCATCATTACTAAAAAGGAGTTAAAAATACTGACTCGGTACTTTAAACTCATTATAAGTAGCTAGCTAAGCATGTACACTTAAAATCTCTGAATACGGATACTTGTGATGGGAATTCGACAGTACTACAAAATCTATCAGCCTTGATTGATGCCTTTACATAGGAAAAGAATAGTCCCTACGGGGATAATCCGGTTTATGACTTGATCTAACGTTTCTTTGCTTGTAATAACTTAATTATGTGATGAAAATGGTGCTGCAATCGTGAGAATACGCGGGGTACCACTTTTCCTTTTCAATGCATTTACTTGTTTGAAGAGGGGTTTTTCATCCAAAGAAATTTCCGTGAACAAATTTTTCAATCATTTTTTTTTTACCTCATATAAATATATTATGTTGTTATAGTACATTTTTTACAAAAAAAAAATTCCAGAAAATTACAATCCAAACAGAACGCGGGCCACGTTTGTAAATGAGAATTGAGCGGTTTCCCCGCCTTTAATAATTCTTAAGCAAGAATCCACTGCCCATTGGTCGTAAACCTGATCATGCACATGACCATATGATTAATTTGTCAAAGATACAGTGTCTTCCACTAAGCAACGTCTCTTTGAGTCCAAAAGTCCACTCAATAACGTTGAAAAGCAACTACAAATGTCTCGCTTTTGCTCCTACTACGTACTATACAAGTAGTAGTAGTTCCACTAAAGCAGTCTTTGGATCAATAAACCAATCTATTACAACTTTGACCAACAACCATTTTTGTCATTATATGGACAAACATTGAACTAATACTTCTACTACTTCAGACTAACCAAATTATTAAGTTCTAACTAATTGACTGACTATAAAGCCGAGGTAGGTATGCAGACACTGGGATCAGCTATCAATGTCATTTGCGTCTCAAAACAAACTAGGATTTCTCCACTGCCTGTACTCGCGTTCTTGTATGGTTCCATCCATATGTTCACTTGCCTAATTCTTGTAAGTTTTCTCTCTCAAAAAAACCCCAAAAAAAAAAAAACCAAATTATTCTTTACTATTGGCCAGCCGACTAGAAAAGAACAACTACAGCGCTAAAACTGATAATATTCTCACCAAATAATTAGAGGTACTGCTGAATCTGTATAATTCTCAGTTTTACATTAGTATATTAAGGTGAGAATGTAGCAATTTTCATCTTTAATGATGGTCAACTTTACTTAATTGGATAGGTGTGGTTCTTCTCAATACGTGTGGAGAATTTTTTTTTTTTTAAAAAAAAAAAATTAAATGACCCGAACTTTATTTAGATAGGGACATTATTATTTGTCAAGGGTCGCCAGTGGAAAACGAGTTACAAACAACCAAAACCACCCCACCTTAACTGATACTAATTGCAATTGTCAAAGTTTGAACGTCTTAATCAATCGAATTAATGGTGGCCTTAGAAAAAAAGGGTTACATTTGAACGAATAATTTGTTAATTGGTATTCCTTTCGGCTTTAACAAAGGCTTAATGCAAACGAAAAAAAAAAAAAAAAAGTTTACGTGGCAAACTAAGACACCAGAGGGATTTTATACGAGGAAAACTCATTAAAAAGAAAACAAGTATTACTACAACGATTTAAAGATTCATATAATGTGCAAAGCAGTTTCTTGCGTTTCTGTTGAAGACAAATTATAGAGATATGCATCAATAATGACGCGTTAATGGAAGACTGCTTTTGGGCCATAATAAGATAAGTTAGCAGAGAAAAATTAGTGTGAAACCGAATTCTCATGTTTTTTCGGCCTTCAGGAAGAACTTTGGAGAAGATAAAGCCCGCTAATCACATCAGCCCTTTGCTTTCTTCATTCTTATCGTCCCTAATAGAGTTGATTGACGTCAATGAGCTGATAATGACTACTAATCTCACACTTTTCTCCATCTACTTATATCTGATTTTTCATACTCATTTCGTTCACCTACGTACTGAAATTGTTTCTTTTTTCTTGAACAAAGAATTTAAAGGCACTCATAGTGGCTGGCATTAGAAATCGTACTTTTAATCCCGTCGGCAGAATTACGATCGGATATTCATCTGAATCGAGGAACTTTAAACTGATTAACATTATTCTTTAATCACTTTCGCTTCTGGATGGATGCCTCGTGATTAATAATTTCCTATGCTTGGAAAGAATACAAAGAACTGCTTTCAACTCATCACGGCAAGAGCTCATTAGTCGGAGCAATATATTACATGTGTTGCAGGGATCGATGCCTTAGCTATGCAGGCATATCATTTTCTGGGCTTTCATTTTGGTAATGAAACGATAATTTTCATGTCACAGATTAACGAATGCTCCAGTGGTCCAGAAAAATCATATGTAAATTAAGCAATATTACCTAGAAACAACTCCACGAACCTCTTCTGTTATTAGCAGTAGCATTATTTTATCTCCACTCCCGAAAGATGGTATTTCATCTCCACTCCGAGTAGAAGCTTTTCTTGCTAGTCGTGCAAGTCACCACCATATCTCTTTCCTAGGCGGGGTTAAAAAAAACAGCGATGCTTTACTTTCAAGAAATTTGCATGTATACCTAAAATAGCACGACAAAGTCAGTTTGAGATATGTTTTGAGCTGCAATACGTGATGGATGAATTACCATCACTGGCCGGACCAAGAAGGGATAAGATAGCCGCCCCAGCAACACTTTCCTGTGCACCCTTTTTATCATTTCTTATTACAGTACAGTGTTGAATATTCATCCACCAAAAGGAGAACAAGAAATATATAAGATGCAATTATTTGGACACTTGTACTCCTCCCACCCGCCATTTACTAGGTCCACCGCTTGTTACCGTTTCGGGTTGTCCCTGTTTACTTTATCTCCCTGCGAGTTAAAAAAAAAAAAAAGGATGGTCCAAAGTCAGAAAACTTCGAAAGCAGAATGGTACAGATAGACGTGTAAAGAGTTTTAATACCTATAGGAAGCGTTGTGGAATGGAGGAGAATGGAGATGGAAAGAGGAAAATGGGGTCAAAATCAATGATGGATCATTTTAATCTGTCAACATATCATCCACCGTTCCTTTTCCGTTGCTGCACTACGTTTGGTGTACATTTCCTGGGGTGGTCCTTTGTATACCCACTTTTCCCAATTTAGTCAGCGGCAGGTGGGCCCATCTGTGGTCCATCACAGCCCAAGAGCCGTCCAGGCACAAGGAAGCCCGTTTATCGCAATTCTTCCTTCCAACTTTCTCTCCTTTCGGCTCTATTTTAATATAAAAGTGTTTTTTTTTTTTGGTCAAACCTCCTGTGTCTCCGAATTTTTTTTACAACGCATGATAAGTGAAATGATTTTTTTGGCTAAATTGTTCATATAAAGTCTTCCATTTCTAAAGCGTTGGAAGATTACTTGCAATTTTTTTAAATAATAAATGATGTAATATTTTTTTGTAATATAATAAATGTAGATAAAAATATAATGAAAAGAATCAAATAAAACTATCAAAGACGTATATGCAGCATGGAAGTACCCCTGCTTTCCATCAAACTTGTAATGTGCACAAAAACAATTCATAGATTGTTCATTGCTTTTACTTTTGTTTTTGTTTTTCTCTTCTCTGTCTCTCTTTCAAAATTTTTCAGGCAAAGTACGAAATTTCTTTTCCAAATATTTTGGTATCCAATTTTGGTAGCCACTGCTTTTTTCAAACTTGTAATGTGCACAAATCAAATCCAGAATTGCTTTTACTTTTGTATTTCTCTCTCCAAAGTTTCTAGGTAGAGTATGAAGTTTTTGAACTATAAAAGGCTCTATTTGGATTAGATATTTTTTGAGATATTTTATAAAAATTTTACTGTATCTGTGTATATGAAAAACTTTTACTGTAGACATTTTTAGAGTGTTTTTAGAGGTATTTTTAAAATA